GTCACAACCATCTGAAACATCAGCAGTAGTGCAGACTTAGCATTCTCCATTTGGTGAGATATCTAATACAGTTATTGCAGAAAGGCATAGAAAATTTCAGTCCTTTTAAATTTTTTTTAACTTCATCTTTGTAGGGCTAAATAAAGCAATTGCTCTAGAATGGTAAATGACATGCCTCAGTATTAGGATGGTGTTCTGTTACTGCTGAAGAGTTAATATCTTGATTTGTCACATTTCTTGCTTTTTGCTTATGTAGTAACTTCATTCAATGTAAAATAATTTCTGGTCTTAGTACTGTGTAAATTATTCTTATTTGGCCAAAAGTTATTAGCTAGAGTGTATGATTTAAATCGTTGTTATAGTTTTTTTGTAAACATGTCAGTCATACCAAAGTTACTGAATTGCCACGGTTCTGATAGGTATGCATATGAAGAGTTTTGCCTCCCTTACAATAAAACAAATACCTTTATTTTCTTTGCTATTTGAATTATTGGGAGAAAAACCCAAACTTTAAAACTTAAAATGTACCACTGAGGTTACAAACACTGCATTTATTTTTGTGTATATGAATACAGAGAGAAAGAGAGAGAGGAGAGAGAGCATGCATTTGGGAAGTGGGCTCAATTCCGAAAGCAATTTGTTTCATCACTATGACCAAGCAATCTAGATCTCATTGTTCTTGGTTTTTCTCCTTTTAAAGCATGAGTATTTTAAAATGAGATATAGCAGCAAGGTAGTAGTTAGGCTAGTGTGAGTAACTTAGCCAGTTCACTGACATGGCTCTGGATGTACTTTTCTCTCTTAAATGGGAGAAGTGCTGACCATTTAGCCACCAAATTGCAGAGCAGGTGAGGTTTGGTCTAAAGTCACTAAGCAAAAACTTATTCTAATTTTATGTTTAATCTATAAAAGGCAATGTGAGCCTAAATATTTGGATTTTTTAAATTGACAAGCATAAGCCTGGCAAATAAAGCTGTTCTCACACTAATGGAAAATATATTATCAAAAATATGCTGTAAATACAAAGTACATTAATCTTATCAACCTTTCTGAGGTTAAATTTAAAACATTTATTTTGTAGCCTGTTTTGAGTATATCATGATTAGATCTTACTCCTTTTGTTATGCGGAGTAGTGTTTGGTTTCTTATCCTACCACCTTTCAAATATAGACTGCTTCTCATTAAGCAGTTTTTTTCATTCTTTTCTACTTTTTTGTGTATGTGTTTAAAAACACAAAGATAAGAAGTATTTGTCATGGGTGTGAGGTTTACATGGACCACTAATACCAAAGCACTGTGTTTGTTGTCTGATGCCAAACATACTTTTCAAAACCAAGAGACTTCTTGGTGGTCATGGTGACAAATATGTTTGAGCTAAAAGTTTGCTACTGCTGGCCTACATGCTTATGTTTAGGTCTTCTGATCCTGCATTCAAAGTCTGTCCTTACTGCCCCTTAATCTTCTTCCTGCACTTTCCTTGAATCATAGCTACAGTTACTGATCTCTCTCTTTGTTTAGGAGTGAGCACCTTTGCACAGATGTAGTTAAAATATTTTCATTATTCTAAACAGAAATGCTGCCTGAAGTTTTAAAAGGAGCATAAAAGTTAATCTTGCATCAGAATAATAAATTAGGTTCTAACATAAATTGTTGGGGTTTAGGGTGCAAACATGTAGACAGAAGGATGCAAATTAGCCCTAAGGGCATCAATCTGTATAGACTTTCAATAGCAGATTGTAACTCTAAGTCCTGGTTCTCAGTCTTTAACTGGTATAGTGCTACTTAAAGAGTCAAAGATTTTTTTTCTTCTTGAAGATTTAAAGCAGCAAACATTTGAATTAGCCTTTAAAAACTATGAAGATGCGATTCAAAGGGCTTGACTCGAGCATGTTCTGATGGGAGGCAGTCATATTAACACACACATGTAACTAGCAGCATCTATCCGTGGGCTGTCTCTGTGTTGTCTGAAATTACTGAAAATTTGTCAGCTCTGAGTGCATGTTAATGTACCTTAAAATTCCTTGTCTTGAGAATGGAAGGGATCTCCAAGTCATTTACAGACACTGTGGGACGTTGTTTTCTAAGTTAACCTGCCCTTTTGCTCTGGCATTCGATCAGCACGGGTGGAGCTGCTAACATGAAGGCACATCATAATGAAAAGCAGGTAAAAGTTGTGTGCTACCTAGGCTAGGCAGGAAAAGTATGTGCCAGAATAGCCGCCACACTCTTCTCCCCAATGTTATAAACTGTTAACAAATACAGGAAATGTACTTTGCTAGAAGCAGTGCAGTGTGGAGTTCTACCATATTGTTCATGGTATATTTTGCTTCATTACTTGTCTCTCAAAGCATTTAACTCAATTTTTGGGTGATTTAGATTGTAGTTTTGAGGTATATCTTTTTTCTTAGTATACTTCATGTAGAAGATGCTTGACAAATCTGTATTGTGTTTGTGATCACTTGTGCAGTGGGTCACTGTTAAATGCTTTGTGAAGCAAAAACTAGTTCTTTAGTTTATGTTGGTTTTTTTTACTTGTACAATCTTACTGCTTTTTTCCATGATATGTAGAACTTCAGTCACAAGTTTCAGTCCCTTGCAGATTCTTATGAAAATGTAATAGGTAACTAATAACAACCTGTCATCAAGTTTAAAATTACTTTTGAAAGTTGCATACATTTTCATAGAGTATTTTTTTTTTGTTCTTGTAACACATCAAAAGACAAGAACTTCATATGGAACAAAACAGCTAATTCCTAAAATTTCATAAAGATTTAAATTATTGTGATTTGAAGTTCTACTACATAGTATATGTTTCATCTGTACTGGGAAATTAGTGTTTCAAGCTGACAAGTTCTTGCTCTCTTGACAATTTTGAGGGGAATGTTTCATTTTTTTACCAAGTCTGTCTGTTTGGTTTTTTAAATCTTGTTATGAGGACACATCTGTGACTTTGCAATACAGTCCTTGAGAGAAAGCTCCATTCATGGGAAATATGCACTTAGAGCAGAGGACTTAAAGCTGGGATTCCAGTGGTCTGGCTTTGGCTCTCTAAAATACTTGACATGTGGTATTACTGAATGGTATGTACTTTGGCTTTCCAAAGGTGCTGAAGGTATTGAGCTTCCATTGAGTTAAAAGATTTTCTTAAAATTTGACCTACTGACTTTCTGTACTTCATTAGTATATGAAGTTGGTGTAATATTCTTTACCTATTAAGAGGCCTGCCTGTGTGGAATATATAATCTTTCATTCATTGGTTTCCTTGTTAGATACATAAACAAGATTAATTCTCTTTGATGTGTACTAACTGGTCACTCTATGGTCAAGCTTTGCTGTAACGTGGACTTTTTACAAACAATCACAATTTCTCATGTGAATGGTGGTTATTTCTTTTTAACCAGCTGCTGGCTTATTTTGACATAACTTTCAACTGTTCATACAGGTTTTGTTATTTGGAAATGCTAATTCTTTTTAAATTAGCTTTTATATAAAAATATTTTAGAAGGTGAACTTCTGCTACTGAAAGATGTCTGTGCTGGAGATGAAAGTTTCTGAAATATGCTGGTAATCCTTTATTATATAAAACAGAACAGAGATGACCTCATGTTATCTGAAAAGTAAAATAAATGGGCAGGTCTCTAGGTAAAGTGATAAGAGCTCTACAATTCTATAGCAAGATCTCTTGCATCAAATACTCTGGCTTCAGGGATTCTGCAATTAAATTCAAATAAAGTATCTGTGGAAAAATGCTGGCTTTTTCGAATTTGTACAAAGTTACAATCTAGAAGATCAGTATTTTAAATATATTTGTAGATAAAGACATCAGAGTAAGGAATGCAATTTCAACATCAGCTTTATAATGGAGTGTGCAATAGTGTTTTTGCTTATGAAAAGCTTACACAATATGTAATATTTCTTTCCTCTTTTGAGTCCATATTAGGTAAATGTTACGCAACTGGCAGATAAAATCACGTCCTAAGATAATACAACAGTGTGACGTAACAGCAATGATTTAACACAAAACACACTTTTGATCAAATAATTTTGTTTTGCAGCTGAACTTCGAACGGTGAAATGACTGTCCTGTGTTATGTGTCGAGGTTGCAGAATTCAGTTGTTCAGCTCAGCAAAAAGCCAACGCAGTCCTTCACCAGCTCAAAGACAAACTGTATTAATATAAAATAAAATATTCTCAACTGCTTTTAAGTGCAATAAAAAACCAGATCTCTGAGATAACTGATATAGTAATGAGAAAAAGATAAAGCTCTGAAACAATTCAAAATAATCTATTGTTTGAGAAGAAAGTTCAGATCTGCTAAAATTGTTGGTATGATTAATGCCTGTCTGAGGGTCTTGAATCTCTTTTTGCAAAAGCTGTTTAGGCAGTAGATGTGAAAGAAACTTGAGTAGCAGAAGCCACGCCAAAAGCCAGCTGGAGTCGAGAACAGAACACTGATTCCCCAGTCCTCTTCTGGCTATGCAGTGGGCCTTGCTATGTTTGTGCTCTTTCCTCTCTGAAAAGGAGCTTGAAATTTTACATTACTTTCACTGGTGATTACAAGATTTACTCCTTTTTATTTCTCTATTTTAAGACATCAAGAGGCAGCTAAAATCGAATGTTGGAGTTTTTTTTCCCAAGTTTATACTTTGAAGCCTATGTAATTGAAAATTAAAACCATTGCAGTAGTGAGAATAACTTTGGTTTTGTTTTTTCCCCTTTTGGGTTGGTTAATTCTTACACTTTTCCTTGCTTTCTCTTAAGCTGTCTACTGATCATGAAAATGTTTCTTTTTTCAATAAATTGGAAGGGAATGTTGCTATAGTAATCAATGGTGGGGTTCCCAGGTAAATAAAAAGAAAAAATCTATCTCACAGAAAGGTGATGATGATATGCAGGAAAAAAACCGTATGCCATGGATTTTAACTAGTTTATAGAGTAATATATTAAGGTGTTATTACATCCCAGTTGGAATACTGTCAAATTCTCTGTTTATATACAGGAACTTGACAAGAGGAGTTGGTAGATTTAGAGAGTTACTAAGAGCTGTCGAAACAAGAACTACACAAAATCTGCGAATGGTAAGTTGTATTAAACCACATTCCTATTGCAGCATCTGAATTTTAGTGGGCAGATAAAGCATAAATATAGTGGATGAGTTAAATAATCAGATACACAGCATATTGATCTAGATCTGTTATCCACCACTTTATAAGGTTACATTTCCTGGCTTAAGTGAATGATTAACATAAAAAGGAATGCGTGATACCCAGTCTCTCCCCTATTTCTCTTTCCTATTTGTGGTTGTGGTTAAAACCTGATTGGTCTGTGACTGACCATGCTTTCAATCTTAATCATAACTGCCCTATTGATGACTTACCATAGTTTCTCAAGGGTGTTGTTTCATCTTTTTGTAATGTAATGGAAGTGACAACAGAGTGCAGCATCTTTATGTGTGTTCTATTCAGTTGGAAGTTATTAAGTTATCATTTCTTTATTTTTGTGATGAAGTTTCTTAAAGGAAAACAAATCTTGAAGATTTGATATTTATATTGTCAAAAAATGAACCTTTACCAAGTCATGTTCTTTTTTTGCATCTTTTATGTAATAAAGGACCAAGGCTTATATCTTTTGCTGTAATATAATGATTTTCAAAAAGTCCTACATTAGTTTCCTAAAAAACTTCCAAAGTGGTGATAAGGAAGGTTTCTTAATTCATTTGATAACTGATTCATAGTAAGGATATTAAAATTATTAAATAATAGACTTTCAATGGAGAGGAATAATATTGGAAACTTTTAGTAGAATAAAAGATGAAGGGCTTCTTATGGTATAGGAATTAAGGTGGAAGATGCAGATCATGGTGCTGTCCATGGCTTAAACATTACACATCTGTTGCTGGGAAACACAGCCAATTCTCATGCAAATGTAGATCTTGCCTTCTTTTTACTGCCCTGGTACTAATCTCGAGTTTTCATCATTGTGATATATAGTCATGCAGCTTTTAGGCATATGCATTAAACATTAAAGAGGAGATTAATCTGAAAGTAATGAATTATGGGATGACTTCAAGCTTTAATATTACTTATTTAAATAATATTTATGTAAGTATTTCTACACCTAAGTATATGGTGCCAAGAGTAGCTGGTCAAAATAAACTTTTTCATGCTGATCTACAACTGCATTTCACTGTTGCTGAGCCTTACCAACAGTAGTAAACACCAGCACCTTCCAAGTACAAGTTGTCAGAAGCCCCAGCCAGTTGGAGTTTGGACTGTAACTATCTGTGGTGGGTTGACCTTGGCTGTCTGACAGATGCCCACCCAGCTGCTCTCTCACTCCCCTTCCTTAACATGATGGGGAGAAAAAAAGATAGAAGAGCTTGTGGGTCAAGTTAAAGACAAGGAGTTTGCTTACCAGTTGCTGTCACGGACAAAACAGACTCACCTTGGCAGATATTAATTTGTTGTCAGTTAAAAAAGAGTGGAACGGTAAGAAACAAAGACAAACACTAAAATACCTTCCCCTCACCCCCTTTCCCCAGGTTCAACTTCAGTCCTTCATTCTTGACTCTTCTGCCTCCTCTCCCTACCCTCCCACTCCCTGAATGGTCCATGGGGAGTGGAGGGTTGTGGTGAGTCCATAACATTTCCTCTCTGCTGCTCCTTCTCCTCACACTTTCACCCAGCTTCAGTATGAGGTCCCTCCCATGGCCTGCATTTCCTTCAGGGAGTATCAGCCTGTTCCATCATGGTCCTCTCAGCAGGCTGCAGTATGGACATCTGCTCCAGGCCTGGAGAGGCAGTAGAGGCTACTGAGCGCAAAATATCTGAAAATGTACCTGAACGTGGTTGACTCTTAGGAGCAACAGTTGGTGTTGTTGATACTTCAGAAGTATCTGGATTTAACTGATAAAACTGAAAAATTGTTTGTTATTGCCATTTTTTTCTTTGTGTTTAGAGAATTGAACTGAGTACTTGTACCTTTCAAAACCAGCATTATGCCTGGTTTTTTGGATGTTTTAAAATAGCAGAAAATACATTCTACATGACTTGTCTTCATTAGAAATAATCCAAGTGCTTCTGAAGAGTTTGTATTTAGTGATTCTAAGCAAAAATATTTATTTTTACTGAGAGAGTGGCCAAACACTGCAACAGGCTTCCTAGTGAGCTGGTCTATGCCCCAAGCCTGTCGGTGTTTAAGAGGCGTTTGGACAATGACCTTTGGACGATGACCTTAATAACATGCTTTAAATTGGTCAGCCCTGAATTGGTCAGGCAGTTGGACTAGATGGTCTTTGCAGATCCCTTCAACTGAAATAGTCTATATTCTATCTTTCACTTTTACAGACAATAGCAAGACAACTGGCTGAAATTTTGTTACGAGGAATGTGTGAACAGAGTTATTGGAATCCACTGGAAGATCCTCCTCACCAATCACCCCTAGATGATCCACTTCGAAAAGGTTCAAATACTAAGAATTACACCCTCAGTAGAAGACCGCGGGTATACACTGGAGAAAAGTATGGCTGAGTTTCTACCTCTCTTGTTTCTACAATTGCAATTGTTACCCAGTGCACTGGGTAACTTAGTTCATGTTGTTGAAAATGTAGAAGGAATTAGGCAATGTGAATGGGAATGTTTCCCATGCTGTGTGTGTATATATATATTCCCCTGAAGAGAACTAGGGAAGTAACATGCTTCTCCAAGCAGAAGTTTGCCCTGTATGCATGCGAACTTTTGTTCTCAATTCTTAATATTTTTTTTTTGTTCTATACTGGCGTGTATGACAGAGTCGATGTCTTGTATTATACATGGGATACAGAAGAAAACATGAAGTCGTTGGCAAATCTGAGTCTGCAAAAGTTTAAAAGTTGTGTGCTGTTTCTAGACCTCTTTTCTGCCTTCTCATAGAAAGGAAAGATTTAGCAATATGGAGATTTTAATTGATCCCTGAAACATTATAAAAAACCAAAACATACCTAGCAGTTTATCTAGTAGTTTCAAAGGTAGTTTATTTCCCAAGACAGCTACCTTTTAATTTTCTTAGGTTAGTTTTGCACTTTCTCTATGATGCCACCTTTTTGTTGAGTTCTGTTCTTTCACTGATTCAGATAAGTTGTATGCTATGGATCATTTTTTTGTGTAGCATATACCATGGTTCACTCTAGAGTAGCTTTGGTGTGTATCTTTTCCGTCTTGAAAATGTGTGGGTTTTTTTCAAAACCCATCACTGTTAGCTTCAGTATTAAAAATGGATAGCCATTTCCTTGAATTTGAACTTTTTCTTAAAAGTTAATGGCTTGTTGTTTGTTTGTATCTGATCAAATGAAAAACGGTTTCTAAAGTACAGTTGTTTTTCTTAGATACTCTGACAGTGACAAAAATATATATTGACAAAATTTTGCACTTTATTACAGTCGTTGGATGTAGCTTGCTGCCTGAAAGTAACATGCTCGTATCAAAGCATATTAGTGAAATCTTAACCATTTGACACTTTTGAAATTTATTTTTTGTTTCATTTATACTGAGTTTGATCTGATGAAACTTTGTTGCATTTTTTTTTTTACTATGCTACTTGTATTCTACACACAAGTCCTTGTGGGGTCTTGAATTTTGTGTGTGTGTGTGTGTGTGTATATATATATTTATATATTTAATACAATCAACAACTATTGCTTGCTTGTTTTGATACATGCTGGAAAGCATTGTGAGCCAGAGAACTGATAAATATATTGTAGCCATGGAGATAATGATCTAGCCAAGATCGTTATTTGCCATAGTAGGTCAGTGCTGAGTAATGCAGATGGAGAAGACTGAAATTCCATGTAAACTTAAGAAAAAAAATTCCAGAAGAGGTTGTGGAGTCTGGAGAATATCACTGGAGGTATTCAAAATCCAGCTGGACGTGGTCCTGAGGAACCTGCCAGTTGACCCTGCATTGAGTAGAGGGGCTGTACTGGATGATCCCCAGACACCCTTTCCAGCCTTAACTGTTCTGTGATTCTGGGAATCTCTTCTGTAAAGACTGTTTTCTGGTCCATATGCAGTTTTTGACCCTTTTTTTTCCAAAGATTTTATTTATTTCTTTTTAATATTGTTGTCTAGCTGTAGGATTAAAGCCAAGGTGTTGTGATTTTTTTTTGTCTGACTCTGTCTAGGGTGTGAAGTAATGAAAAAGCAGTCTTCTGAGCTTTAGGAAAAGATGCAAGCATAGAGTTGAACATTCAATTTGCCAAAACTACTGTGTTTCTCTGCAAGTACATAATTAACAAACTAGACATGCAGGTAGCCTTTTTGGTAAAAAAGAAATACCTGGTTTGTGGATACAGCTTGATCACTGCACTTAAAAAGTATGCATTTATTGCTCGAACGTAAGGAAATTCTTTTTATGCAGTGTCACACATTTTCTATTTGAAACTCTTAGTTTCATGCAGCATTCAGTCTGTTCCTCTCTTATGATGTATATGCCTTATTAGATAATATGAAAGCTTTTTTTCCATAATGTGACCTTGTTGTTATGTGTGAAAGAGTCTGCTTGTACAGTAGATCGCTTATAGGAGTAGTCCCACCTTAAATTCTGAAGAGTTGTTTTGTTTAATTGCTCACGGTATCTTTATAGTGTAACCTAAAATACTGTCACAGTGCAGGCATTTGAGTTGTTTAGCTGCATTTATTGCAAATTTCCATTAATGAATACTTTATACAGCAGCAAGCCCACATAATTATGGTGTCATTATTACCAGCAAGCCAAATGGCTTTTACCTTCAAAGATATCTATTCTCCCTTGATCCAGAATACTTATAGCAGGTTTCTCAGGCTCAGTCTTTCAAACTTTTATGTTCTTCTTTCTTAACTCATCCTTTTGTAGAAACATGCCTCCTGGCAAAAGTGGGGCTTTGTTCGGTGTAATTTTCTTGTTCTTGGGACATGCAAGCAAGGAGTTCCACAGTTTCAACAGAGCATGTGATTAAGTCCTTTACTTTTGTCGCATCAGAGTGACTAACACCAGATCAGATAAAATGTGTCTAGCCAAGTATCTCAGCTCCAGCAGTGATTGAAAGCAAGTACCTAAGACAATGAACAGCAAGACAGACGTGTAAACTTCTTCCTAGGTATTAATCGGACCACCAACTCTGAGTCAGTGATTTACTGTTTTTTTCTGAGTATGCTTCCTGATATATTAAGTAAGTGTACTGTGATTTTGTAGATCTCTGTGTTACTGCCTCTTCAGTTTTCCTTATCCAGTGTTAAACTGGATATCCACTTTGTTCAGTGTTAAACTTCTTGGTTTGCCTTTAGTTGGTAGTCATTTCATGCTTCCAGTTGCCTCTTCTGCTCCACCCTGTTACCTTGGAATTACTGTCCTCCTATGCCAGCGTCTGTCAGGAGACACAGAAAATGTTTGAGTTCAGTCAACTAAATTACTAAATTGAGCTTTTTGCGTGCACAAGTTAATCCAATTTCCCAGTAATTTCTGCCTGAAGATCTTCACTTTTTGAGACAAACATCAACTTATTTACCAAAATATATTTGAGGTTGTAGGAGAAAATAATGTTTGCTTTTCTTTTGATAAGTGACTTTTTAGTAGTTCTCTTTGGGGTAATCTCCCTTTTTTTCTTAGAAAAAGGAGTTTCTCCAGCAATTATTTCCAATTGTTGTTCTGCTTTCTGGGAACCATTGACAGTTGTTCAGGTTAAATCTACTTCCAGGTTGCTAAATTCTGCATTGAAGACTGGATAGGTAAATGGAGAGCTCTCTGCTTCCCCTTCACTCCTCATACCCTGTCCTGGGTGGTTCTTATTCACAAGTAACTGTGTTTTGAAATTTCTTTGTTAAGTAAAAATAAAAATATTTCCTAAGATTTAGAATACTCTTCACAGTCTTGTGAGCAAGTTGCATTGATTAAAAAATAAAAACGCAACAACAAAACAACTGTACTGGGGTCTCAGCTGCTGAATTGTACAGTGCATTCACAATCTTGCTTTCAAACCACCTGGAGTTTGGATGTGTTTTAGTTTCCATAACCTTTCAGGCATTTAATTACTGCTTAAATTTCTAGTGCATTTAAAAAAACCCAAACGATGTTTTAATCTCAGACAAGTTTAGTTTCCCATCAGGGATTTATTGTAGTTTAAGCACCCTTGGGACTACAGGAATTGCTTATTAACAAAAATAAATTATTTTCTACATTTAAATAGTGAATTGTGGAACTGTTGGTCTGAAACCAGGAAGTAGTACTTGTGCTAATTCAGAAACAGTTTACGGAAAGAAATCTAGAGAGTTAAAACGTAGTCACTGTTTGTATGTGTGAGAGAGAGTGAATGAATAAATTCCTAGCAGTCATGTACCCAGTACTGTTGTCTGTCCTCCAGCATAAACAGTATTTAGAACACAGTGTTCAGAGACAACAGTAAAGTTTGCAGACTAGTCCTATGCAAACCTTCAATATTAAGTCAGAAAGAAGTGCCCTTCATTAAAAGCAAATATTTTAAGTGCTTGGAAGTAACAGTGGTTATGGCAAGGAGGCAGACATTGACATGGCTCTATTTAAAAATATTCACAGCTATTAAATGCATCAGAAAAACAATTGTCAAGTGTATCTGGTAAAAGACTAATACAAGTATTTATCCATATTGGCTAAAATACAACAGTAGTCTTGTTCTTGTGAGAGAGTTTCTTGTTGCTGACCTTTGAATTGGTGATGTAGATTCAGCTCAGATAGATTAGGTGCCAGTGGCTTGTTAAACTGTGGGTACAGTTTTTACAGTTGGAAAATTCTGTGCAATTTTGGGATATTTGAATGTGTTCGATTGTGACAGCTGTGGTGGTTTTGTTCTCTTATTGTTTTTGGCCAGCTTTTCTGAAATGCAAATTTAGAGCATTGCAAAGAAATGCATTTTAACCAGTTGATTTTTCTGTCCAAGTTAATCTCTGTTCTCTTTCCTGGAAATTTTACAGTTTTTGCAGTACTCTTACTATAACTGTGTAAGCTACTCCTAAAAGTAATGTTTTCTGCTTAAATAATTAAATTCTTGTTTTGAACAGCATCTTTTGTCCTCAAGAAAATACAGAAGAAGCCTTACTGTTGCTGCTTATTAGTGAATCTATGGTAGGTAAAGTGAATGTACATGTGCTGTATGTGTGTGTTTTCCTTGTTTTATTTAAATGAAAATAGAACTTTTTTAGTCATGCCTTACTTTATGACTTGTGTTTTATTCTCTGTTAGGAAAGCAGGCAGTTACTTCTGAAACTCAAGCTTCTGTTCCTCTGAGGCAGCAAGATGAGGTCTGCAAGTGTTATGAACTGTTTTTCTCCTTTAGAGTGGCTGAACCTAGCCTCCTTCTAACCATAGGCAGCTTAGCAAAAAGCCAGGTCTTTCTTTTGGCATCACTTACCAGTATGAACCAGTGTTACACCAGCTGGTTGTCATTCAGACGGCCTCAAAATGTAAGTTATTTTTGTTGTAAAAACCAAATCAATGACTACTTAGATGAGCATAATAAATGTAGCCAAAAATTATTTTTCATTGTGCATTAAATTTCAGATGTCACTCTAATTTGTAAAAGATTTTTAATGATACTGGCATTCAGCCTTTGTTACTGGATTTTTTTTTTTTAATGTCCTCATTTCCTCAATAGGTGATTCCATTCAATGTCCTACTTGTGCTTTTATCAGTCTTTCATCTTTTCCACTAGTATGATTTTACTAGTCAACTATCAGCTGTCACATACTGACATTCTCATACCAGGTCAGTTATATGTGCTCAAATGGCAGAAATGAAAAACGGAAGCTGGAATTTTTACTGTTTTTCTAATTGGAGGGGTGGAACCTCTAGAATCTCAGGCATCATAGTAGTCTGTCTCACTGCACATCCATTGAGGCTTAGTCTTTAGTTCTATAGGTGATTCAAATGTGTGAATTAATGAACATTGTCCTATTTGAGCTATTTTAAAGTGGTAAACACATTGTAGTGCAAACTACTTTCCTTATTCCTAGTGATCTGCCCTGCAATGTTCATGACAGAATCTGTCACCAGAAAACTAGCCTTGAGCAAACATTTCAATGTATTGTGTTGATTTTGCTGCAATGTATACTTACCACTGTAAGGTGCCGAGGTAGCTCATGGCCATATATAGAATTCTGAGGTGAACTGTGGTCACGGTGTGAAATGGAAGCAGTCCCAGTTCTGCAAGGTCTGACTACTGGTTACTGTATTTGCATGTGTACTTCCTTGTAGATCAGCATTAAGAAGCCAAAACACAAATTAAAGTACTGCCCTGTTAAGTCTCCTTTCAGGTCACTTACAGCTTTTCCTTTGTGAATTAGATTTGCCTAATTGTATCAAATGCTTGTCCCTGTAGACCATATACCCTTAGCAAGCTTTCAACATTTTTTATTATTAATTATTGCAAGTTGTCTGAAGCAAAAGAGTTTGTTTTGGGGGAGCATAAAACCTTTCACATGATTGACTTACTTTGGCAAAGCCAGTTGTTCAAATTAGTTTTGTAGGGGGAAGGTGAAGATTGAGCATAGAAATACCCATCACTACAAACTTATCTTTCTGAGAATTGAGAGATCTTACTTCAGCTTCAGTGCATGCTGCCTTTCTAGCTGTAGTAGTTACGAAGTAGCATGTGATTTATGATTTTGAAACCAGTGTTTGGGAAGGAAATAAGAACAGTTGCAGAAGATTGTGTTTTCAGATGTTATTGTGTTATTAGAGTAGTATGATCCCTTCCTCGCATTATCTGTGAATTAGTAAAAGCACAGATAAGATGTCAAGACCTGTCCTTGAATAATTTATTCAAGTAAATATTGGAAAACAGAATGAGGATCTGATATATAAGTAGCATTTTGTGTAAGTAAAAGTAATTAAATCACAGTGTATATACAAGCCCTAAATCTTATTGCTATTTTCAGGGAAGTGGTGCACTCTAACATCGTAACATCTTCTTATTTGGATTAGATCTAGTGCAGTGTATATCCAGAAAACAGAATCTTTCTAGTGGATTACAAATGCTACTTTTGTGTCACCTTGAGTTCCCTTAATTTCTCAATTCAGAAAGGATGCTTTAAGATTTAAATTGTAATATTTATGAAAGAAATACTCTGCTAAAGATAGTTCTGTGCTTTTCAAGTGTTCTAATTCTCTTATAGGTACATTTCAGAGTACAAAATGTTTCTTTTAGCCAGGTAACTGCTGCTCCATTGTATTGTCATGCATAATGAGGAAAGTGAGCTGCAACTCTGCCATCACTCTTACTGTAAGATGTCCTTGTATTCTAGCTGTTACGCTTGTGAAGTGTAGACCAGCCTTTCCTTATCTAGACAGGAATGAGTAGAAGGGTGGGATCTGAAGGACTGACATCTTCACATACGGCGTACATGTTGCTGCACATCAGCTGAGCTGTAGAAACAGAATCACAGAATGACTGAGGTTGGACAGGACCTCTGGAGGTCATTTTGTCAAACCCCCCTGCTCAAGCACAGCCGCGTGGCACAGGCTGCATCTTAGTCCAGGTGCCTTTGAATATCTCCAAGGAGAGAGCTCTGCCACCTCCCTGGGCAGCCTGTGCCAGTGCTCGATCACCCTCACAGTAAAAAAGTGTTTCCCGATGTTCAAAGGGAACCTCCTGTGTTTCAGTTTGTGCCTGTTACCTCTGGTCCTGTCACTGGGCACCACTGAAAAGACCCTTCTTTGCACCCTCCCCTCAGGTATTTGTACACATTGATAAGGTTCCCTCCTTAAGCCTTCTTTTCTCCAGGTTGAACAGTCCCAGCTCTCTCAACCTTTCCTCATAGAAGAGATACTCCAATCCCTTATTCATCCTAGTAGTAATTTGCTGGACTCTCTCCAGTATGTCCATGTCTTCTACTAGGGGGCCCAGAATTGGACCCAATACGCCAGGTGTGGCCTCATCAGTGCTGAACAGAGGGGAAAGATTGCCTCCCTCGACCTGCTGGCAATGCCTCTGCTCACACAGCCTGGGATACCACTAGATTTCTTTGCAGCAAGGGCATGTTTCTGGCTACAGTTCAACTTGGTGCCCGCCAGGAACCTGAGGTCCTTTTCTGCCAAGCTGCTTTCCAGCTGGGTGGCCCCCAGCATGTCCTGACTGGTGCCTGGGGTTGTTCCTTCCCAGGTGCAGGATTTTGCACTTCTAAGTCTTTCTTGAAGCCTTAGAGGTTCCTGTCAGCTCATTTCTCTAGCCTGTTAAGGTCCTTCTGGATGGCAGCACAGCCCTTTGGCATATCAGTTCCTCCTCCTAACTCTGTGTCCTCAGCAAACTTGCTGAGGGTGCATTCTGCCCCATCATCCGGATCGTTAATGAAGATGTCGAACAGGATCAGGCCCAGTATCAATCTCTGAACTACACTGATAGTTACTGGCCTCCAACGGACTTCATGCCGCCGATCACCACCTTCTGGGCTCAGCCTTATGAGTTATACTTAGCTGATGGTAAAATGTCTGAGCATATCCTTTTTTCCACTGTGAGTGAACGAAGTTATAGCGCTTGCATTTGCCTCAGAGGTACAGTCTGTGTAGGGTAAATGTGGCCAGTTGACACACTGCAGCTTAACTAATTGTTACTTTGTTGTGTCTGAGACCATGGCAGTTCTGAAACACTGAGCACTTAAGTTTGTACATACGTTCTGTTTTGTAATTGTTCAGAAAGTGATTGTTCAAATATATAAGATACCTTTAATACTTACGAGGCATTATCTCCTGTAGTAACGCTTTGGCGGTGTCAGCCATTTTTTCACAAGAAGTGCTAGTTCATGGGTTGTTGTGCATTTGCAAGGAATTGAGTCAAACAATGATTACATGTGGAGTTAAAAAGGAAGAATTTCTTGAAGCTGACTAAATATTTATGCAGTGTAGAAAGGAAAAGCCAAAGACTTCTTGATCAAAAGGAAGCAAGATGTCTGTTTTGGGGTGTATGTGCGGGGGTGGGTGTTTTCAAACCAAGCTGTGGATTATTCAGTTGATAAATCTCGAAATGTCTGTGTATTTTACACTCCATGTATCTCTTTGAAAATTTATTTCAGTATTTAATTATTCTGATTTTAAAGATTTATTGAGTATGTTCAGAGTTTAAAATGTTGTCCTGTTAAAGCAGAGAAACAATTTAGTTCTTCAGGTGTGTCATTCCTCCCCTCTGAAAAAGGGGGAAATAAGCTACCCATTAAAATTTAGTGTATTTAAGTTAATGTATTAAGGGGGCCATGCCCTGTGTAATTACAAAAAAAAGGGGGGGGGGAGGGGGGAAGAAGAGAGGGAGGGACCTTTAACTTCTGGCTTCAAACTACCGGATATACTGGCATTTGTACTGATGGCAATATTAAATATCAAGAAATCTAGAAAGAGATATGATATCAAGATAAGGTCTTCTTTTCAGAGGCTTTATGGTATAGTGGGTGAAGTACTAGATAG